CCAGTATCAGTCTACAGATGAATATAAAATCAATCATATGTCTATTGAGTATGACAAATACTCATTCTTTGCTTTCATTTCAGGATTCTCTGCAAACTATGTTAATTTGACAAATAATATACCAGGGGTTGAATTATGAAATACATGGTAGAAATATCTGGTGTTTGCCCATATACAGTTCTTCTTATTCCTGAGTACACAACAGGACTAAATTTCTCAGCCCTCTTGCAGTTAGTTAAGACCATCTGACTAGTTCTAGCCAATGAAATAGGAGCAAGAGTGATACAGGTCACTTCCAGGTCAAAGTATTTACAAGTCAGTCTGAAGTCTTAGGATCGCACTTCCCCAGCAGGGGTGACCCAGAAGCCACATATAGAGATGGTAATGTCACAAAATGGAGGGAATCTGGATTCCTGAGTCATTAATAAGAAAAGAGGTCTACAGACATGTATCAGGATTATTATTAAAAAGAAATAAACTTTTAGTGTATTAAATCACTGAGATTTTGGTGCTCCTTAATTCATACAGCTAGGTAGACTAATGTTAACTTAACCAAATTTTAGTACAGAATAAGAAAACTCTTCCTTCCATTTTGATTCTTATTACAACTATATAATTTTTCTATAAAAACTCTTCCTTCCATGTCTTAAGTTTTACATGTTTCCTAAAAACATCCTAGGTGTTAATACCTCCCTGATTTGTATGTATCAGTTATACTCTTTTGCTTATTAGCTGTATGACCTTTGGCAAGTTTCTTAACCTCTCTGAACCTCTGTCTTTTCATCAGTAAAATGGAAACCATAACACCTTTTTGGAATTGTAGTAAGGATTAGAAATAAAATATGTAAGCCACGGTGGCTGACACATACTACAAAATAAATGGGAACTATCATTATTTCTCTTCACAAATATAGACAGATAGTAAGTTTCCACAGGACAAAAGTCAAAGCATCCTTCCTTCTGTCCTCCTAACACCAGTAGAAGTAAATATTTACCAAATGTTATTACAAAGGGGATGGACAATAAAATGTAAATCCGATTAGCTAAAATCAATCCATTAAAGAACTTTTTAATGCTACCACTGTCTTAAAAAATCCCAGCCTGAGTTGAGCCAAACTGCTCCCTTCTCTGATACCCACCTATACATACATACAGAAGAATCAGTCTCTGATAAGAAATGAAATGTGCTGGGACGCCTGGGTGGCTCAGTCATTTGGGTGTCCAACTCTTGATTTTGGCTCAGGTCATGGTCTCAGGTCGTGGGACTGGGCCCTGCGTCTCTACCCTCAGCAGGGAGTCTGCTTCTCTCCCTCTCCCTCTCTCTTTCCTTCTCTCTCTGCCCCTCCCTGCATTGATGCTCTCTCTCAAATAAAAAAACGAAATTTGCTAATTCAACAAGAATCCTAGCCATTTTAATAGTTTGCCTAAAAGAAGTACTAGATTTTAGACAAATTTTCCTAGTGAAATTTACTTGGCGAAATTACTCTGAGCTCACCTAATCTTAATACGGGTTAGCAATGCCATGACTAAAGATCATTCCATTTAATTTATGTCAGATTTAAATACAATATGCAACGTAAACAGTGATTTCCAAGGCTAGGAGGGCAGCTAAACAAAATTTAGTGAGAACAGTCTTCACATTGAGTTTCTGGTAAGTTACTTTCTCATCTACTTCCAAATAAAACCCAAAATACAATAGTTTCCTTTCACAGGCCTCCTTATCTACAACACAAACACAACTGATAACACATCCCCCAAACAGCATGATGGTTCTGTTGACATTGGGCCACATCCATGGGCTCTTCTGTGACTAATGGACTATTTCCACACCTGGTGAGAAAAACATCAGTGGCAAACTTTTAGTGAAAAAGCATGTGTCTCACATTCCCATGTGGAGTAACTTGCTTTTCCTACAGAAGCACTCCAACTATTAACTATTTCAAGCAATATGGCCCAGGAAGCTAAGTTTAAGACAATATTTTTACTACAAGGACATGAAAAGTTTGATTAGAAAGCTACCAGTACCCAAGAAATAAGGCAGCCTCTTAAGGGCAGGGAATTCGTCTTGCCTCACTCTGCTTTTTCCCTGTTTCAGAGACTAGAGCAGGAGCTCAGGAATGGCTGGCACCAGGAGAGAGGGAGCTGCCAGAGCAGCTTGTCTATCTAACTCTCCCCCAACATTGCAGACAGCCAGTCCCTTTGCTCTTCTTCTCCCCATCTGAAAGATAAGAAACATCTAATGACATTGATAAAGGACACTCAGTTTAAAAAAAAAAAAAAGTTTGGGTGAGTCACTCACTGTGTTTAGGAACGGAACTACTGAGGATTAGAAGACCCCGCACAGTCTTCTATGAGAGAATAGAGGTAACGGGAAAGGATATTGGTCCCGGGCTGGAGAGCTTGTGATGAGTCCCATCTCTGCCACTTACTGCAGTGTGACCATGGGCATCAGCAGGCTCTCTGTGCCTCAGTTTCCTCATTTGGAAAATAGAGATGACAGAAATAGTACATACCTCGTAGGGTTTCTGCGAGGATGAAACGAGTATATTTCACTCGGAATCATGCCCAGCCTATAGTAAGTACGGTCCCCAAATGTTTATTATTTTTGAATATTGTTATTTGGGATGCAATCTCAATCTCAGGTAGCTGCATTTTGTCCCAATGGCAAAATAAGTGGGCAGCAGGGTGTAAGTATTTGGCACGCTGCCACCACACTAACTCCTCTTTAGGAAATTAGAAACCACGAGTTTTGCCTTTTGCTATTGTCTCTTATTGTCCTGGGTGGACTGAAAAATGGGAAGCCCATGACCATCATCTCAAACAGAGAAGCACTGCTCCTAAATGTCAAAGAGGCTGACCTGAACCAATTAAAAAAAAAATGCATTAAATATTCTGGGTCAAAAATTGAAGAACTAATCCACGATTACACCAGTTCTACAAAGATCCCAAGACAACTAAATGGAGACAAGACTGTCTTTCTAACAAGTGGTGCTGGAACAACTGGATATAGGTATGACAAAAAAAAAAAAAAAAAAATGGACCTCAACCCTTCCCTTATGCCATTACAAAAGCTCAAGACAGATCATAAACCTATATGTAAGAGGTAAAACTATTAAAAGCCTAGGGAAAAAAAGCTAGAGAAAAATCTTTGTGACACTGGGCTGGACCAAGATTTCTTAAACAGTACATCAAAAGCATCAACTATAAAAGAAAAACTTGATTAAGTGTACTTCATCAAGATTAAATACGGATGCTCTTTGAAAGACATAGTTAAAAAAACAAAAGACTGTGAAACATGTAACTGACCTCACATTATTTAAGGAACTCTTAACAACTTAACTAAAGGAGACAGCTAACCCAATTTAAAAATTGGGCAAAATATTTCAACAGACATTTCACAAAAGAAGTTATAAGAATGGCCAATTATGACACATGAAATGATGTTCAACATCACTACACATCGGAGAAAAGCAAATTCAAACCACGAGACACCATCACATATCTACTAAAATAGCTCCTGTTAAAGAGATTGACAGCCCCAAGGTTGGGCAAGGATGAGGAAAACTGAAACCCTCACACACTGCTGGTGGGAAGGAAAATGGCATGGCCACTTGAAACACTGTATGGCAGTATTTACAAAGTTACACACACATTTACCATATGACCCTACAATTCCAATCGTAGGTATTTACCCAGGAAACGAAAGCACATGTCCACGTGAAAGCATCCACGTGAACGTTCACAGCATTATTCAAAAGACCGCAACAGCCAAATCTGTCCATTAACTGGTGAACAGATCAACAAACTGTGATATATGCTTACCATGAAATACTATTTAGCAAGTCAACAAAACAATCTTTTAATACAAGCAACAAAACAGAATCTCGAAAAAGTGAAACTATAGACAGAAGGCAGATTGGTGCTTACCCAGAGCAAGAAAGAGGAGGTTTCAAAGCTAGGGAGCTCAAGAAAACTTTTAGGGTGAGGGAAATTTCTATTGATTCTGATGTTGTATACAATTACCGAAATACTCAAACTTCACTTAAAACTTGTGAACTTAAACAAGCAAGGGGTGCCTGGGTGGCTCAGTTGGTTAAGTGTCTTGGTTTCAGCTGAGGTCATGATCTCAGGGTCATGTGACTGAGCGAGTGTGGAATCTGCTTGAGATTCTCTCTCTCCCTATGTCCCTCTCCTCCCTCTTTAAAGTAAATAAATAAATCTTTTAAAAAATTTAAAAATTAAAAAATAAAACAAGCAATCCGAGAACCTTGTTTGTGTAAGTTCTACAGGCACATGAAAAGAATACATGATCTCTATCTGTAAAGTATAAAATGTACATACATACAACAGTTGATAGTACAAATTCTTGCTTGAGTATTCAGACTAGGTCTTAAAGAGTTACATTGTTTCAAAAAATGCAGTCAACATCTTTAGCTACCACTTGAAAGGTAATAAACCAGAAGAGGTCAAAGTGAAAACTTCACAAAGTAGGAAGTTTCCACACAAACATCTCTTCATTCCTCATAAATATTTAATTTTAAGACTAAAACTAAAACAAAGAAATGTCATTTAAGGATCAAGAAAAAATTTAATTTAATTTATTTTATTTTATTTTATTTTTTGAGAGAGAGAGAGCATGCAAGCAGGGTGGGGAGAAGGGGCAGAGGGAGGAGAGAATCTTTCGCAGGTTCCACATCCAGCGTGGAGCCCGACACAGGGTTCAATCTAACAACCCTGAGATCATGACCTGAGCTGAAATCACAAGTTGGACATTTAACTAAGTCATCCAGGTGCCCAGGAGTCAAGAAAAATAGAAATATTCCTCAATACACATAGACCAAAGATTTATTAAAACCTTTTTATAAAGATACAGACACATTTTTTAAACCCCAAGCTCACAGATTAATTAATTTGTCCACCTTAAAAAGCAAACAGAAACAAAATTAGCTGGGGTTTCTGGGTTTAGGTCCTGGCTGCAGATGACAGGGCCAGGGACTCACCTCTGTGGTTCCATCCTTGAAGCTCTCGCTGTAAGTGCTGTCTGGGGTGCTGCGCTGGTCATCCTTGAGGTAGGTGCTGTGGCTGGCCATGGAGGGCATGCCATACTGAGTCTGTTCAAAGATAACCACACGTTGCTCCTCACCGTCTCCCCGGGGATAGTGCACGGGTGGGGCCATGAAAACGGGTGTAAAATCTTCAGCTTTCACCACTGTGATTCCTGATACGGGGATGATGGCTGGGCTCTCAGAGATGTTTGTGCTATACTGTTCCCGTTTCGAATTCTCCAGGTGGTCTTGATTTAGGGAAAGGTTCACTGGAACAGTCTTTAGGACCTGCACTCGGTTTTCTCCTCCACTCAAATTACTCTGGGCTTCACTGGTGCCAAGACAGTTTCTGCATGTTGAAACCCACCCCCCGACACAACATAACAGAATTAGAAAAATCATTATTTTTCAAATCCTAATAAAATAACTGATGCAAGCAATATCAGTGGATGTTAATGCCATTAGGGGAAAAGTTGATGGTGAAATTTACAAGGGAATGCAGTGGATCTCTGCATCACTAGAAGTAGGACATGTGTTTCCCAGTACCATGCAATCAGCCCGCCTATAAAGTACAATTAGGAAAAAAAAAAAAGTTGACCCTAAATTTAGCAAGGCTTCATATCTAACTCCCAGCTCTCAGAAATACAGAAGGCTGGAAGAATGACTCAAACAACATCAAAAGGAAACAAGCATACAAACAGAATGTAGCACATCTTACTGACCTGGTTTCTTCAGTAAGTTAGAGGCATGAAAAAAAGAAAGGAGGGTGGGAAGCTTGTTCTAGATTAAAAGATTTGAAAGACATAACAATCAAATGAGTAGATCTTGTGTGGATCCTGATCTGAAAAACCAAAGAGGCATTTATGAGACAATAGGATTTTTGAGGCAATTGAATATGGACTGGGAGTTAGGTGATATTAAGGAAGTATTGTTCATTTAGGTAGGTGTGATAATGATTTTGAGATTATATAATAAAACATCCTTTTTATTTAGAGATACAAATGAGAAGTAGTTAGAGATGAAATGACATGATGTCAGGAACTTATTTTAAAGATCACTGCAATAAAAAAAAAAAAAAGAAGGGAAAGAGAGAAAAGGTAGAGATTAAGCAGGTGTAACAAAAAGTTACCATTGCTGAACCAGGAGAATTGGACAGGTATTTGGGGGTTCATTATACTGTCCTCTTTACTCCTGGATGTGTTTGAAAACTTTCAAAGGAAAAAGTTACAAAAGAGCTTTTTGAAAAAGATGGGGGCGAGACATACAGGGCGAGACAATAATTTGAAGGGGGGCAGTGGGAAGAATATTTTACACTGTTCTGTGGGCGAAACTCCTTGCAAGAAAAAAAAGGCAATGAGAATTTATCATTAAAATGTTTTCACTGAATTGAGAAACAACATGAGCTCATTGATATCCTTAGCACTGAATTACTTTTGGGGCTTGAGGGAGTGGTGTAACTGGACTTATGTAAAACAAGATCTCTCAGATCTCAGACCTCCTGGCTGGTACAAAGAGAAAGAGAGGGTTTGGAAAATTAATTCTCGCCAGGCTGGGATAAAATGCTTTCTATTTCTACTACAGAATTCTGGGAGAGAGCAGAAGCAAAGAGAAATTAGACAATGGAAGAGTATGGTTAATAGCACCATGATTTTACTAGCAACGCCCCTGTGGTCAGTTAAATTTGGGGTCACCTCTCACTTATATATGGATTATTCTGAATGATATGGACAAAAAGAAATACATATTTTGCATGGAGCCCTGTCCCCAGTATCTGTTGTTTTGGGTTTCATTCTGTTTTTTTCCCTCTTAAACTAGCATGATCTTTCTGGGGCTAACTGGCATCTCTCATAGAAAGAAATATTTGAATAAAATTGGTTCTTCCCAGAATAAAGCTCTCCTAGCTCCTCTAAGCATGCCTAACTCTCAAGCAGGACTATGTAAGTTTAGCTTTGATTTCTCAGACAAAACCTCAAAGTGAATGAAGCTTGAGGAAAGAATGGTTTCACATGAATAAAGCCAACAGAAAAATACCTAAACTTCTTGGAGTCTGTCACAAATTTGTAGAAATCATTCTAGAAAGTAATCCTTTAAAGAATAAAACTGCAAGTCTACAAATATTCTGCTTTAAGTAATAACCTGCTTTCATGGTCATAGCAATACAGTGACTCTGTATATAAGATACAGCGAAAATTTAGAAGTTACGTTTAATCTGAGTCCAGTTAGCTAGATGATGCCAAACCCAGACCACCCATTTATGTCAGCATTTCCTAAACTCCATTGTTTAGAGCATTGCATGGAATGTTAATAGATGTTCCTCAAAGAAAGGAGTCCGTGATAAAATCAGTATTTTTTTAAAAAACTGCCATAACAAAACTAGCCTGTGTGAGCCATAAACATCATGAACACAGTAAAGGCCCCCAGGCATTCCTTCACCTGCTTAATTATAACCCAGAATTTCCCAAACTAATTTTACCCCAGACTCTTTTGTGGAGGATTAACTATTAATATTTGCAGATAATGTCTTGTAGGTTGGATGTAAGAGGGGCTGGTCTACATTGATTAGCTACCAAAGCAAGTGTCCAGTTTCCACTCCTCTGGACGTGGCACAAAGACTTACTGCCTTTGCCAAAATACTCAAAGTTAACCAACTCCTCTACAGTTAGAGTCCATTTCAGGCCAAATTTATTAATTCTTTCATTCATGCAAAACACATGAATTCTAAACAAGAAACACAAGTAAAAATATTTGGGGCACTCTTATAAACAAACATAAGTGAACTACGGAGTTGTATAAACCTAGTCCACTCATCATCATCTTATGATGAGGGAATATTAGATGCAACATCATTCTATAATATGTACCCGCCTGCAGTAGTTTTAGAAGCTAGAGAACTTCAGAAAGACATCCATAAAATGGATGATCAGAACAAAGTAAGAATTACTGAGAGCTACTGACTCACCTGCAATAGAATTTAAAATTGAACTGAATACTTTTTAAAAAAAATCTCAATCACGCCATTGAGATTTTCAGTTATTTTTCCAAGTACCAACTTCTATAAACAGACAGTTGTAATGATAGTATGCTAGCACATGGCACCTTAATCCATGAATATACTGCAGATCAAATGATATCCTTCCAAATTACATTCAACCAGAAGACTACTAGGTCAAAATTAGTCTATACAAGGTGGTTTTGTCTATATCTCACTGCCAGTATTTTTGAAGGTGTTCCACTGAAATCACAAAAATAACCATTGAAATATGATGAGGGGCTATCACTCTTTCATGTTGTTCTAAAAGATGTGTTAACAAAAAAATGGTCTCTCTTGCCCATTATGATGCAGACAGCAGAGCACATATCTTAAACATGTTTTCCCCTGACCCTTCTATGATTACTAGTATACGACTTAGCAGACAGCACATGCTTAGCTTAATAAATGCTGGCTAAAATGGAGGTGAAGTCACAGGACCTGAAGAGTGCCAGGCTCTTTCTCCCTGTCATTACTGCTACCAACTAGGGCCCCAGGGCCCCAAGACAGTGTGGAGCATCACAAGATCCCTTTGAAACTGCAAATCAGATGCAGACAGGCTTAATCTTCACTGAGGGTATATTCTGGAGGTGATGCACAGCCCAGGGCTGCTGGCTGGTGGGGTGACTCGCTGCTAGTCATATAACAAGATCATAATGTCGTAAGTAGTTCCTCTCAAGGCCAGGTTAAGAGTCTGATGTACGTGCCAGCAGGGTATTTCATTTCTCCTGGCTTCATATTTCCATATGAAAGAATCACCAATAGGAAAACACTGTGGCTTCTCTCCATTCCTCTGCAGGAAAGAGACAGATTTGATTGATGGGTTTGGGACAAGTAGCTAAGTAAGGTGGTTCAGTCCCTTCTGGTGCCCTCCTTAGGTCTGGATCATCCTGGCCAAAGAGAGAGGACTCTAGTCACCGCTGCCATACCACAGTGGCCTGTCCCTTCAGGGAGGACTGGAGTCCTGCCTGAGATTGGGTGAGTAGACATATCTAAACCAGGATGGACATGCTGCAAACTGTGGATTCAAAAATCTCGTTCTCTGTTGGCTTAATCAGAAATAAAACTGATTTTTTTTTTCCTTTTTAATTTTAATCTGTCTGTGTCTTGTTTTTCAATTGGTTCTCGATTCAGGATTGCAGGAAAGGGGTGTCACATAAAGATCTCCTAACATCTTTCTTGCCCCTGCACGCTCATGGTGTCTGCTGTTACTCAGGGCTCTCCTCCAGCTGCCTCCGGGGTGAGAAACAGTCCAGCCTCCTTCCTCTGCCCCTCATCAAAAGCAGTCTCTCCATGGCTCACTCCCTCAAGGGCTTGATTACAATTATCCAGCCATGGGACTGATCAGGAAAGTTCACCCCTAAATAGGCTATCTTGCCAGCATTTCACCTCTAACCAAGGATTTTTCAGCCTTCTTGAAAGAGGGTGTATCAAGAGCCTGCTGATGACCCTTTGGGTGCACAACCAAAATATGCAATTTGCTCTCCCTACGGAGAGATCCAGTTTTGGTCCATACTCTAAAAGACAGACAGAAGAAGCTAAACTTCTTGATCCCATCTCCTCTCAAGAACAAAAACTAGTTTAATACTGTTGTTTTCAAAAACATAGGAAGAGTTATTTGGGGAGCCAGGCATATTCCTTTACATAACACCATACCTTTTATCCTGCTCTTCTTGGCTGTCACTTGCTTTGCTTACAGATAGCAGCCTCTTGTCTCGAGGAACCTAGAAATATCACCAACCATCAGTCAAACTTACACAGATGCAACTGTGACTAAGTGCAGAGCTAGAGACCAGCATAAGCAAAGCAACTGAAATGGAATGTTCTCTGGGAAAAGGTGGCAGATTTGCGATAGGCAGGTGATGGTTAAAGGTGAGTAGCATGACTGGCAATGACAGTGGATCAGACACAAAGGGGTGATGATAAACAGAAGGCCATAATGATTATGGTTCTGCTGTGCACCTGCTGACAGGCAACTCTGCCTGGACCTGACCACCCTCAAGCCCACCCCACCATGCGAGTGAATGAGGTCGGAAAGGAGCACCATGAGTGGAGGGTGAAACTGGACCCCGGAACAGAGAGAAATCATCTTGGATTTACAAGAAGCATCCTCTCAAAGAACAGGGACAGACCCTCCACTCTGATGAGGGACTTCAGGTGCTGACAGAGAGGGGAGCAAACTGGGCATGGGGCTGCACTGTGCAGCAGGACAGGAGCATCTAATACCTGGACCATCCTTTAACCACCACCCCTCCGTAGCTTCTAGCCTTGCTTCCACAATTTTTCTTCTAATGCACTTTTATTATTGTCTTTGCAACCACAATGCCAACACATTACCTGAAAGATGAGTGAAAAAGTGCTACTAGAGAAAAGAGACACCCCTACCAGCTGCATTTCTGACCACCATCCAACCGTCCTACTGCAGCACGGATCATTCGCTTATCTCTGCTATAGTTTCAAACACATGAATAGTAGGTTTAGATTTGTTTGTGTGGTTGGCTGGTTGGCTGGATGTTTTGTTTGTTTTTATTTTTGTGTTATTTTGCTACATCTCCACACCTTCATGCTAGCCAAACTCCTCTGCACCCAAATGCAGCCTTCATTATGTTGATATAAAAGAGCCTTTATGAGAAGCATCCCTCTTCTAGATTCTTCTAGAAATTCTTATAGTTTCCACTCACCTGGATACATATGCAAACCCAGTCACCTGGAAGAGGGAGGCAGCATAGCAGGGTAGCTACCAGTCAAGACCTAGACCTGATTGTCTGGGTTTGAAACTCAGCTCTAACACTAACTAAACTCTCTAAACCATGCTTAAGGGCAGTCCTATGACTCAGTGCTTTTACTAAAATTAAGTGAGTTAATTTTTTTCAAAGCACTTGGAGTATCGGTACTCTATAAGTATTTGTTAAATAAGAATAAAATAAATCAATTTTAAGTCTTTTGTTCACATGTCAATGTTGAGGGTCTACAATGTGCCAGGCATTGCTAAGTGCTAGATGGAAATGAGCTGAATGAAACATAGCTCCTACTATCAACTGAAGATGACAGATAAACATAAACGTTCACAGCATCATTATTCACAATAGCCAAAAGCTAGAAACAACCCAAATGTCTATCTACAGATAATGAATAAATCAAATGTGGTATATATATACAACAGAATATTATTCAGCCTTAAAAATGAAATTCTGATACATGCTCTAATATGAATCTTGAAGACATTTATGCTAAGTCCCATATGACTCAAATCTATCCATTTCCCCTCTGTATGTTTGCCTCCTGGTTCAGCCTCTGACATCTCTTGCCTGGGCTACTGCACTGCATCCCAACTGGTCTCTCTTCTCCTTCACTTAGTCCCAGCAAATCCATTCTGAATCCATTAAGAAGATTCAGACTGAACTTAAAAATGCAAGTCTAGTCTCATTATGCTCGTACTTGAAATTCTTCAATGCTTTCCATTTCTTGAAAACATGGCACCAAAAACCTCCTACCTCAACTTTGGCAGACCCCATCACTGCCATGCATATAGTCACACTGTATCTCAAACATGCAATGCTCCTTCTCTCAGCAGAGCCGTCAAAGTGTCCTCTCTGCCTTTGGATATCCATTCCACCTCCATATCTATCACCATTGCTGGACAGTCACAGCTGATTAGTGAGTATTTGTTGGATGGATGGATGGACAAATGGATATACAGATAGACAGACAGATAAATAGATGGCTATATAAATGGACAAACAAGCAAACCAACAAACTGGTTTCCAGCACTACATGGTCAACAGAACAGATGGGAACCAATTAGCCAAAGAAGCATATTTTCATAGAACTAGAATCAAATGATAATGAACCACCAGCTCCCTCAGGGGAAAAGGAAGTAAGATAAAGTGAGTCAAACCACTTCTAAAATTCACTAACTAATGGAATTCGTTCTGTTTTTCTGTCATGCCTGAAATTCATCAAAAGTTCATACTTGACTTTGGAGCTGCTATTGATAAGTAGCTTGAATTGGATAGAAAACCGGGCTTATATTTGAGTCCCTAAATTTTGAGAATTCTAGCAATTTGGTTATTTTTAATAGATCCCATTTAATGTGCTTTGGATTTTTAAAAATTTGAACCCATCTTTAAATGAGGGTTCAAAAAGGGCAATTTCTAATGGTGGACAGGTTATGAACTGAATTGTGTCCCAGCAAAGTTCATTTGTTGAAGCCCTAGCCCCCAGTGTGACTGTACTTGGAGATAGGGCCTTTCAGGAGGTAATTAAGATTAAATGAGATCATAACAGTGGGGTATACACACAGAGAGAAGTATACACCCACACATTTGAGGACACAGCCAGAAGACAGCCACCTGCAAGGCAGGAAGGAAGAGAGGCCTCACTGGAAAACAACCCTGCCAGTACCTGGATCTTGGACTTCCAGCCTCCAGAACTGTGAGAAAATAAATTTCTGCTGTTTAAGCCCCCCGGTCTGTGGTATTCTGTTATGGCAGCCCTGCAGACTAATAACAGACAGAATAATGGAATGGAATTAGGAAATGTACAGGATTGTCTTGTGACCTTGAGGAAATCCCACTTAGTGGCCTGAATTATAAAATATAAAACCTGATGGGTTTCACTGCAGTGTTCCTGTGGTGACAATTTAAAAATGTACATGAAACGACTTTGAAAGGTATGAAGTATGATACCAAGATAAGCCTTTGCAGTTTCCAAGGACAGAGATGGCCATTTCTTGAGTGCCTGCTGTGCGTCACACTCTCCTCTCTCTAACAGAGCCTACTACCGTCCCCTGAGGGGCGATGTAGTCCAACCTTAGGAGCGAGGAAAAATGGTGTATTTAGCACTTCCAAAGAGGTATAAAAAATCTATAGAATTTAAGTGATAATATGGCAGTAATTGTTACAATAATTTAACTTCCCAACGCAGACTCAAAAAATAGAATCTCTTTTTTCATTAATATTTTACTTCATACAGAAAGGTCTATTCTCAAAGTAGATTTAACTTTGTTGAAACTTTAATACCATCATATGTAAGGCATGAATGTCAGAGATCTAAGGCCTGAAAATGACCATTTGCACATAGTTTTGGGAAACAAGACTAATTCTTTAATGTTTAAAATGTTTCAAGCAAAAATATAATAAAGTTTGTGTGGAATAAAAGGAGCCATGTAACTCTACTTGTTCACACAGTCTCAGGAAACATTTTATTTAAATATTTTATATCTTAAATTAATAAATTAACCCTGAAAAATATTAATTCAACAGAAGAGTTATAGACTTGGCAACAAATTTAGTTGTATATAAATTCCCTATTCTGCATCTCAACATATTTACAGATAGCAATATTTCATCTTCCCTTTAAATATCAAAAATATGCAAGAGGAACGGTAACTAGGTACCATATTTACTAATAATTATCCTCTGAACCTATGGGAAATAAAATACATGGCCTTCATATGTTACCAAGTATTTTGCTTTGAGATATACTTCTCTTTTCGTTAATACAGAAGAATTGCCATCTAATACAGATACCTGAAATGATGTCCATTTCACAGTGATGGAATAAAATCTATTTTTAAAAAATTAGAAAAATACATGTCTTCAAAATATATCTTGATATGTTTCTTCAATGCCTCACAAAACTATCACCTAACATATTAGTTTAATATAGTTATAAAAGCCACAAAGGGAAGTTGTCATGACCCAAGTGGTTTACATCAGGGTCACATTAATGGTAGGAGATCTCTGGAAAGTATGAAAACTCTGGTTTAGGAGCAAGACAGGAAACAACACGACTTGCAAACGTGGAGACTGCTGGAAGGATAGAGAAAGCAGGAAAGAGAGAGGAAAACAGGAAGAAGAGACTAAAGCTTATATTAAAAGAATTGTTCCTCTTGGGTGATCTCATGATGGAGAGAGGGGGAAGGTGAGGACTCAGTGCTTATTCTAAAATAAAATGTTCACTGGGCCCAACCAGCAAAATAAACACAGCCATTCTCACCTTTGTGCCAATTCCCAGCATAAGCCAGCAGTGTTTACAATCAAAGCTGGCAATAAATCTCCTCATTCAGTAAATACATGTTGATTTTTTACACTTCACCAGTGCTAAGGGAGCAGGTCATACGTTTCTGAGACAGACCACTGTTTCCCATTAGGTTTCCCAAAATACTCCTATTTTGAGGGTATTGCATGGCAGGTATTTTTGTAATGTAAGTGAATAACATTCATTTTGTTTTAAAGGTTTTTCAAAATAAATATTTAGTACCCATCAAAACAAATGGAAACAGGGTTATAACAAAATCAGGTTTTGGAGTTGCTGCAAAAGCCTACCACAAAACACTCATTGGAATGTTCCTTATAAAACTAAAAAAATATAGAAATCTAGAAATCCTGAACGTTCTTATAAAATGAGAAACTGAAAAGCAACCTAAATGCCCAATAACTGAGCGATGACTAAATTAAGGTATAGCCACACAATGTAATTTTTTTAAGTAATCTCTACGCCCAACATGGGGCTCAAACTCTCAACCCTGAAATCAAAGAGTCACTTGCTCTACTGACTGAGCCAGCCAGGTGCCCCTGTGATATTTTTATTCACCAAAAATCATCAAGTGAAAATGGCAGCAAGGAAGTATTTGCAATACAGTACGAAGTAGGAATTACATGGAGACAATATGTACGCATGTGAACAGAGGACACAGAAATAATGATCCCAAAATGAAAATTTCCTCTGGGTGGGTGGTGAAGTTGTGCTCCATTGATGGGAGAGCAGGGAGGCAAGGAGAACAGAAGCAGGCCGAATTCCAAAGCAGGCGTGGAAATACTGTTCTCTCCCCTCTTCCCATGGAGGAGGAGGAGGGGGAGGGGGAGGGGGAGGGAGGAGGAGGAGGAGGAGGAGGAGGGGGAGGACGGGAGTCTGTGGGGGCGGGCAGAGGAGGGAGGCGGGGCTGCGGGACCTACCTTGTAGTAGTCGTACAGCAGGCCCAGGGCAGCAGCACTGTCCTCATCACCATTAATGCTCATCATCGCCTTGGTGGCCGCCGTCAGGGGATTCTCCAAATATGACTTCCAGGCTTCATCCTCACTGGTGTAGGCTCTTCGGGTATTGAACGGGGGGTCACTGTGCATGGGCACTAAGGCCACCAGTCGTTTATTACTTGAAAGCAAGAGAAACGTGAGGTTCATTATCAGGGCAATTTTCTTTTCCACTAAAAATACATCCATTACATGGTTAATCTGTACTCCCCTAGCATGAGGAAGGGAAGGTTAACACTAAAATGGCTGCCACACTGCATTTAGAAAGCCCCTACGCCTCCAGAAGTAAAAATGGTCTTTACAAGGTCGTGTAAGTACTGTAAGTTAATCCCCTTCACACTTGATTTTTTCATATTGTCATTCTAGGAGCCAAATCATTCTTATTTGGCTGTTCTTTATTAATATGAGAATGCATGTGACCCTATGGGAAGCAGGTTTCATTTAACTCTGAGTTGTAATTATAAAATAAATATGTGCAATACATTAAATGTAATCAAGATGTTAGCAATTACTAAAAACTTTTATCAAGTTTAATCTACATTTGAAATCGCTTGCAAATAATAGACCAATCCAAGTCTCTTAATTTAAAAATGGCAGTAGAAGCTACTTTATAAATAAGACATATTGCTGATATGCTGCATAATAAGGAATATGCAACACCCAGACTCTATATGTGAATCCCATGTTGCCACAGGATCGTACTATATTTAAATGACAGAGAAGCTCCAGGTTATAAAATTCTCATAGAGAGTGAAGAGAGTATCTGGAGAATTTTCAGTAGAGACAGAAAGGGGTTGGAGTCATTTATCAATCCTAACCAAGCCAAACTTGGGTAAAGTAGCAACTGACAAGGCAATTTCTTGCAGAGGATGTGGCAGTGACTCAAATACCCAACACCTATGACAGTCCTCAGCAGCTCCCTGGGCCGGGATCCCCAGAGTAAAGGAGCCTGGAGAGGCTTTGGCACTTGCCTCCTGGCCCTCTACTCTTTGTTCATTGAAACAGAACCAAAATGTAACGATGACATACTGTATTTCAGTAACAGCTGTAACTCATAATAACATAACATGGACAAGTGACAGGACTGGTGAAGGCAACACATGAACTAATGAATGTAAAGTAGGCCACCACGGTCCTCTATGGTCACTCAGCTTTAAAAAAGGTACCTTTTTGCTGACACTCCTATGGGACCTTCCAGTGGGAGATGGTCTCTCAGCTCACTCTACGACAGAGAACTAGCATGCACTCCTGACAAAGACTGCGTTGAGGGCCCTTTCTGTGCTGGCATGGTGCCATGCACCAGTGTAAGGTCAGAAAATGACACTGTCATTGTTGGTAAGATCTATCAGGGAGTGAGGGTGGGAAATCCACATTTAGTGGAGTGGAATTCTGAGCTAGACAGTCACCAGGCCCCTGATTTCAACTCTGCCGGTGGTTTGGTGAAACTGTTTGGGAAGAAAGAGACAATACTGACCCAACTGCAAACGAAGTGGATTAAAAGGGTCTAACGATGTTTCTGGAAGTGAAGGGGAAAAACCCTGGTGGAAGGGTTTACTAACCATGAGGCGGGGTGGTGACATGGGCTAGCAGTGGGTACTGGAAGTGAGTCCTTGCTCACCATTTACAGAGGTAGAAAACTGTCTCGAGTTTCACCTTTTTCATGCCTTAAATAAGGACAGCAATACCCACCCTACTTAGCTCACAGTGGGATTGTGAGAAGCAAACAGCATAATGGAGAAAACAGAGCTCTGCAAACTGCACCGTGCTACACAAATAGAGGTACTACGATCACTGCACAGTTCTTCGTTCCTGTGAAGTTTGTAGGTGCACCAATTTTTGGTAAAGTCAATTAGAACTGACAGGTGTTAAAGATAACCATTTTCGAGGGAAACTGAAGTTGTTCACTTAGCAATATTCCGTAAGTATTTACTGCAAACTCAATAGGTACCAGGTCTTACGCTTGTCATTGAGGACGTGGTGGCACACGAGACGGACCCCGTCCCACTGTCCACACAGCTTGCAGCCCAGTGGAGAGAAGGCACCACCATTACAAGGGCAACAGGTGTGAGAAAGGGAAATGGACAGTGTCATGAGGGTACATGACAGAGGGGACCAACCTATCCAGAGGATCAAAGAGGAGCTGAAGTTTTGACAAAGATCTGAAGGAAGGAATGCATTGTTAGTCCATGCTGAAATGGGCAGATGTGGGAAATACTTTGTAAAGGGAACAACGTTTTGGTGATTTGGAATAATGGAATTTTCTGACAAGAGGAGCACATTCGTATTCATTTTGGAGTCAACTACAGAAATTTATATACTCTAAAATAGCATTTTCTTGTTGTGAAATTACTCATTTATACAGGATAGGGTTGGACTTGGGGACAGAAATGTTGGTGACATCCTGAGAGTCTATCAGTGGAAGAAATGAGGTCTCTGGGGAGAACCGAGAGAGCAGAGGTGGTGAGCCCAGCTATGGCTCCTTTCCCCTAGGATCCTGTCTTGTTTCTCAAATTCCTCATATCAGTGAGATCATATGATACTTGTCTTTCTCTGATTGACTTATATCACTTAGCATAATACCCTCTAGTTCCATCCACATTGTTTAGCTGGGGCCACCCTGGGTGATTCCACCACTTAAGAGGGGGAGGCAGCAAATTCTGAAACCTAATCTGTGCCCAGGAAGGTCCAGCCATCATGCACACTCCCTAAAATGCTCAGCCCTATAGGAAGGAATGAAGAGCTTCATGTTATTTGCAGTGACCTCATCATCAAAAAAGATGTGGATCATATTCTCTTCAATGACTGAGAGAAGCACATATTGCCGGGGGGGGGGGGGGGGGGGGGGGGAAGGAAGGTGTTAATTACAACACTGGCTAATTTCCAAAAGTTTAGCAGCAAGTGCCAGGCTGAAGGAGAAAAACCAACTCGTGTTTTACACTAAGTGGTGTCCTGATTCACTGGAAAGATTTCTCTTCAAGTCTTCCTTTTTTTTTTTTTAATTTTGTTATGTTAGTCACCATACATTACATCATTAGTTTTTGATGTATTGTTCCGTGATTCATTGTTTGCATATAACACCCAGTGCTCCATGCAATACGTGCCCTCCTTAATTCCTTAATACCCATCACCAGGCTAACCCATCCACCCACCCTCCTCCCCTCTAAAACCCTCAGTTTGTTTCTCAGAGTCCATAGTCTCTCATGGTTCGTCTCCCCCTCCGATTCCCCCCCTTCACTTTACCCTTCCTACTTTTTTTTTTTTAACATGTATTATTTGTTTCAGGGGTACAGGTCTGTGATTCAGCAGTCTTACACAATTCACAGGGCTCACCATAGCACATACCCTCCCCAATGTCCATCACCAGCCACCCTATCCCTCCCACCCCCCACCACTCCAGCAACCCTCAGTTTATTTCCTGAGATTAAGAGTCTCTTATGGTTTGTCTCCCTCTCTGGTTTCATCTTGTCTCATTTTTTTCCTCCCTTCCCCTAGGATCCTGTCTTGTTTCTCAAATTCCTCATATCAGTGAGATCATATGATACTTGTCTTTCTCTGATTGACTTATTTCGCTTAGCATAACACCCTCTAGTTTCATCCACGTCATTGCAAATGGCAAGATTTCGTGTTTTCTGATGGCTGCATAATATTCCATTGTGTGTGTGTGTTTGTGTGTGTACACACACCACATCGTCTTTATCCATTCATCTGTTGATGGACATCTTGGCTCTTTCCCTAGTTTGGCTATTGTGGACATTGCTGCCATAAACACTGGGGTGCATGTACCCCTTTGGATCACCTACATTTGTATCTTTGGGGTAAATACCCAGTAGTGCAATTGCTGGGTCATAGGGTAGCTCTATTTTCAACTTTTTGAGGAACCTCCATACTGTTTTCCAGAGTGGCTGCACCAGCTTGCATTCCCACCAACAGTGTAGGAGGGTTCCCCTTTCTCCCCATCCTCGCCAACATCTGTCGTTTCCTGTCAAGTCTTCCTTCTTAAAGTCCCTACTCCCCCCTCCCTTGCTGAGTCTTCTGGATTGCCAATTTCATTGGTTCCTAGCACAGATGTTCAGTCATAAATTGATTGATCAGCCTTTCCCCTATGATGAAATGGTTGATGAATCCTTACATGATTAGTGGAAATATTCCGGGAAAGCACAACTTTCCTAGCTGTTTCTTTTCACATTTTTGATCGCCAAAGGAGCCTTTTATGCCCTTTCCTTTAACTGCATAATGACTTTGGTTTTTTTTTTGGTGTTTCTTTGTTTTTTTGGTTTGGTTTGGTTTTTTTGGTGTGTGTTTTAACGTTTTGTTTTTTTGGTTTTTTCGCTTCATAGATTATAATCTCTCTGGTACACAGCATTGTTGAATAAAGCTTGGTTTAATAAAAACAATAATCTCTGGTACACTAAGCAAACACGTAGACTTATAAAGAAAGGAAAGTTTCACAGAGCAGATTTTACCAAAGTTTGGAACACATTCTGAAGCTGAGTTTCATCATCGTTCTTTTGGATTGTCAGCTCTACTTCAGCTCTGGTCAACCTTTTAAATATTCTTTTTGTAGCTTTAGGTATGGCATGTTCTAGGCAGTCTCAAACACAGAACCGTAAACAGCAGCTATAAACTTGATCCATGGTCCTTCTTTGGAGAGAAGTTTAGATTAATACCTGGGAACATTCACAGCAAGGCTAAAGGCCATGTTAGCTCACACATATAACTTCTTGTTCTCATTTTTTTTTTCTTTAATCCACTACTTCACTTTGTGGATGCTGGGAGAACAGTTGAGAGATGAGTCATCGGCGGAAGTAGGGAAAGAGGTGGGGCAGTCATGCGATTGAGATCACACCCCACAAGTCCGGGAAAGCTCCAGATCACTCCGCCAGAAGCAACCTACCATCCCCCGTAAGCAGTAACAAGAGTCTAACGCGGGAGTGCTTTGCTAGGGAGAAGCTTAGAAGCAGCAGCGTACGAGGTCTTTACCTTCTAAAAATATGTGTTGTAATAATCAAAAAATCCAGACATAAATCTGTTGCACTTGGGACCACAAAACAAAAATGAGGATATGACATATTCACACAAATTACCACTTTCGATCCATTTCTCATCATTCATTTCTTTTGT